TAAGAATTGAAGTTTTGGATGGATATTCACCCCGCATTCATGTGCCGATGCGTGAAGTTTTTGACTATTTTTTAATACTTCAACTACTTTTGCACAGACCAAAGCGCAAAGCAGTGAAAATAATTAGCAGGCAATCTTTCGGTGGACGGAATCGCACAAAACGCATGATCGCACGGCTATTCTGGTGCACGCTGTTATTTATTTTTGCATTCAAACCTCACTGAAATATAGGCTGACTTCATCCCCGTGCATTATTTTTCCCTGTTTTTGCTTACTCATAGTTTGCGACGGAAATTATTTACCTTCAGCTTTAACTAAACGTCAGCTTCATTAGTAGGGAAGTTCCATACTGACGACGCGTTTTTGTGGAACAGTATCCACGAGCAGAACCACAGTTTCTTTTGCATTTATTCATAGAGTCAGATTTGCTTTAATTTACTTTTATTTGTGGCGTTTTCTTTTTCTCTTTACTGCTGTCTCCAGTTCTTGCCTCGAGCTGCCGACTTGTATCCTCGTTCCCATTGTCTTTCCTGTCTCCAAATCCTGCCCGCAAACAACATCTGGGCTCCTCTCCATCCCCACTGTAAAAACACTGTGCAGGCAAACAGTGTTTTATCTTTCCCTACCCCAAATATGGACGGTAAAAACCCGGGCGCACTTCCTCATCCTTTCCATTCATCATCCCAAAAAGCAAATGCACTGAACTAGACAATAGACAAAGGTTCTACGCCATTTAGTCCTTAAATCCACCTATCCTAGCCCCCTACCCTGGCTCAAACGAAACCCACCACATACTACCCTGCCTCCACCTGCCACATTCAAACTCCCGCCATCCGCCGTTGAGCAGTCTTAAAAAATTTTTTCTCCCGACGAGCCTTCATCTCCGGAACAGGCGCTCTTACCCGCGTGCGTGAAAGTTTTTCGCGGGTGAGTCGCTGACTCGGGGATTAGGAAAGCTAGAAAGGTGAAATTTTACAGGGACTTTTCCTGCCCAAGTAATTCTTAATTAGCCTCAAACCAGTTTCCGGGTA